CGCCAGGGTGCCGCGTACGGACGTTCTAAAAAAATATGCCAATTTTTCGGCGGAAAAGCGATCTCGGGGACCAAGCAAGGCAAAGGGCTGAAACTTTGTAGGGATATTCCTTATACATGTACTAGCTAAAGATTTTAAATTCAGCCCCAAGTTGTGCGCTGTAACCACGTAAGGGCGTATGAAAGTTTCTGCGGGAAAATTACCAACTGGCAACCAGAAAAGCTGGAAGGCTGAAACTTTGGGGGAATATTCCCTGTTCAAGTACAACTTGGATGTTTCAAATTCAGCCTTGAGGTATGCTTGATTCTTGCGAAAAGTATTTAAAAATTTTAGCGGAAAAATTTCTCACTGAACAGCTAGGTTACTTCTAAAGAAAGACCGCTAAATGAAAGTCGTACCTTAACTTTATGCAAAATTTATGGTAATTCGTGCTAGTGACCGCGAAAGATGGGTGTAAAGCAACAACCATTCACGCAATTAATGACCTGAGTACTTCAAGTCCGGTGTAAAAACATATAGTCGCACAAGCCCGCCTGGTGCGTTCCAGTCTGGGTTTTAATGTGCACGTATTTTCTGCAGATTTCAATTTTCAGTTCTACGAAAGATTTAAGCTCAAGTTTTGGCAATTTAGTCCATTGCCGTGATAGGGTTCTCAAAAACAAAATTGTTGTTCTCTTACTATTCTGTATGGACACTCGGAAATTGACTTTAGCAATTTTGTAATTCCGCACAGAGTGTAGAAAAGGAATCTAGTTTTGTAAGTACGGTCGCGTGCGACAGAATGCTCATGAAAATTTCAGTACTCTAGAGTTGCAAAAACTATCAGTGTTTACTGTCTGCGAACGCGTGAAAAAATCTGATAATTTTGCAACTCTAGAATGCTGAACTTTTTTATAATCCACATATTTGGGTAAGTGTTCTTAAATACGCGTCACTGTCAGTTTTACACTTTAGCAAACAGAAGAACTAGAAAGCTAAATGTCCGTGAACATGATCCACAATCATTTTTGAACAGATGTACAAATAATTTTGAAACGCTTCTAAATCTCACGGGATATGGAATTTTACACAGACATTTTTTTGCAAGCGGCTCTGCTGAAAAAGCGCGCTAGCTTCGGTACCTTAATTTCGATGCAATTTGAGACGTAAAATTAGCCCGGACATAAGGTATCCCAACCCAGCTGCTCCAATATGCATGGATTTGCATTCCTTTAGACGGAATTAAGTGACAGACCAAACGGCTAAAAGACATATATTGACGTTGAGAGTTCCACGATACTAGAATAGAAAGGTCGATATCCAATTTTCGTTCTAGGAATAGGGCCATTCTTAGTGAATATCTTTTCCCTGATGACGATAGAATCAGAAATTTCGTGGTATTGCTACTTGCTTAAAAATAAGCCGTCCTCTCTCCCCTAGTCTATCTTCGCATCTTTTTCTCGTCTTGATCTTCTCATTACTCTATTCCTAAGCGATTTTACACATGCACCTCGCGCATTTGTTAGACAGTAAACTGT